AAGCTCCTCTTTCAAAACTTAGTTTTCTCAGCCATCGTGGCGTTGGAAGTCAAGTTGAGTACGCGTTTTGACGGAAATACCAGTTCTGTGACCCAGCTTACTTAAGTGCAACTCGTCATGAGGTCAAGCACGCCCACTCCAGATGCGGCTTAACACCTTCGGATGCAGAGTTCTCGGCGGCCCGCCGTCTCTCCAAGACGTCCGACGTGCTACCACAATAATATTATTGTCATTATTCCCTCAGAGCTTGATGTAAGAGGTCGTGTGTTCCTTAATTCCTTCTCGCCCGGAATCCAAACGCTTGAAAAGTAAGCACGGAAAACATTCTGTTTGCTTATAACAAAATATTTCATTTGAGACGTTTCTCGCCGCGCGCGATCAGCCGAAGCTGCGTGTGACTGACCTTGACAGAATATCTACATATAGTTTTCACTTTGTCACACTGCGCACGCGCATAAGCCACCGTTCGAAATATGCAGTTCCAGAAATTCAGGGGGGCCCCGATTCATGTGCTGGAAAATATTACATCGTGGACAAGGTTTACCTGGCTCAGGACAGGGTCCAGTCGTGGGCGCTTGTGAACAGCAGGGGTTCATAAATGGCCGACAATTGGTTTCCCAAGGACGATCCAACATTAAGTTACGTGATCTTTGATAATGACCAGCTGCAAGCTGACAATTCGCTATGCTGGCCTCAGGTTCCTCGTAAGTGCTCATTTGCAGACACAAGATCCTCCGGGCAACAACGTCGCCCGATTTATGAATTAAGTCGAATAAAAGAGAATCAAGACATCCTGACTCGGCAGAACTAGAAAGACACAGCTTAACGAAGTGGACTTGGTTTCTCTCAGACAATTTGACAGGACGCCAAAGCTGTCCCCAACACACTTTCACTAGGAGCAGCCGACACCCGACAATTCCAGCAGAATTCTCAATGGCAATTGGGCAAAGAAAAGGTATTTTGACAGCGCAGGCAGAAACATTCTCTTGGCACTTGCAAATGTGGCGACAACCATTAGGTGCACTGCAGGCAGGTAGATCGCTTAGACTCTCAGCCGATGTCTATTTGCAGCAAGATAAAATCCAACACTTGTTTGACTGACTGACGCAATGAACCACGCTTCGCGTGAAGTGTTCACAGCCTCACGCACGCAGTCAGCCAGGTCCCTAGCACGAAGGACTCTTAACAAAAATTGCCCAGCCCTTCCTCGTGACAAGAAATTCATAATCACGGCGAAAACGTTACAGTTTATCATATCGATTCACAAATACCAAATCGACACCTGAAAACAAACAAATATCTCATAAGAGTGGTGACCAACATTTCAGTTCGGCTGCTGGACATCTGACGGCAACGTCTCACGCGGTTGTACTCAGGTCAGACGCGAATACTTGGAACTAAAAGCAGATCTGTGTAGCACTGGACCGGTCGCAGCCTCTTCAGCATCAGGCAAGAAAGAACCACTAGGACCGGTTGAAGTCAGGATTTCATTGCGTGTGGTACATCTGCCGCTTACGGGTGAGATTTAACAAGAGACGTGCTTGAGGCATCAGCCGAAACGACGGACGTGAATAGTCAAACAGGCCAATACAAGATATCACATTATTAATTACAGTCTA